AAAGACAATTCGAGAAAGAAAACAGAGATGAATATGCGAGAAAATAACGTGATACCTGATAAATTTAGTAAATGAAAAAGATGAAGGATCCTTCCGACAAATCAATGAACAACATAGCAAAATAAGATTTTCTTGAAAAACAACGGGAAGATTGAAACACGAAAGTATCGAAAATGGATGCATGAACACTTTATTCGATCCAAAAATGAATCATTATTTCTCGTAGAATACGTGGAATATTTATGACGTGATTAAATTCTTATAATCCGTAGTGAAAATAATATTCTGAAAAAGAACGTCATACAATTAAAAATGGAGAAGTAATGATATATTATTATTTCTCGCAAATTTAAACATATCCAAGTTATTAAACGTAACGAAATCTTGATGAAAATTTTCATCAAAGATATTAGACGTAACTGATAAAAATGCCAAAGCGACAAAGAGCATAATTTGTTCTACAAAGTAATTACTATCGTGAACAAGTATGCGCTGCTCTTATTTTCAATTTCACGAAAAACAGTGTCGGTGCATTTGTTTAAAGTTACACAAAAACAAGAAGAATAAACGCAATTACATGTAATGGCAGTTAATTATGCTTCTTATATTTAATTTTCCATTATACGTGGACAATGGAGAATTATCAGGCACACTTTCGATACAGAAAACAATGACATCATTCTGAATCGATTTTTTAGCACCTGACCACCCTTGAAATCGATTTTGTTATCATCCTATCCCGATATGCCAATTTGGATTGTTGTAGAACGGCTATAATTAAGATACTTTTTAGATATTTCTAGAAAGAACAAACAATGCAAATTATTGATTAATCGTTTCGATTATTTATATTCCGATTTATTTAAAAAATTTTTGTATAATTTCTCCAATAACTTTTATATACTTTATACAGATAGAACATGAAATGACGGACGCGATAAATTTTTTTTTCAATCCAACAAAAGTTAACCAAAAATCCACTGCAAAACATTAATATAAATTTTTATTCTCTTTTTAGTAAACTTTACACTAGAACTATCGACGACTAGGGTCAGAAGACTTGCACCAGAGAAATAGATAGAGAATAAAGAAAACTTTATAATACAATAGAGGACACAAGCTTTAATTTTTATATTTATGTTTAACTTCGATTTATAAATATCGGAGTCGTTCAAATTTCTAGAAATCTACTCTTGTAAGTCTATGAAATTTTTTTTTTACAGAAAATTACGAATTGATCATTATGATCATGCTGGTTATTCTGTTGAATGAGGAGAAGAATGAGGAGAACAGCATGTATTAATGATCTCGTTGGGTAAAACCATAATAGAAGAGCCATAATGAACGGTTGCTACACTTCGCAGTGAGAAAGTATAAAAATAAAGAATCTCTCTCGTAAGTTCTACGCTTAGATGCATAGTTAACAGTAACTGTGCCGAAAGTATGTACGTAAGGGGAAAAAGAAGTTGGCAATATCGTAAACACACTCGATGGCTCGGAAAGAACTTTCATTTTGAAATAAGGATTGTGTGATGAGCAGATGGCATGAAAAGATATGGAAATGAATTTTCGTAGAACGACAACGTGAAGAAGAGGGGAAACTTCAGAACTAGGCTGATAAATCAGAAAAGGCATCGCGGAGAAGATTCCCACTAAAATAGTGAAATTTATGCTTCCATAATTGGTTCATACGTGTATATGCTCTATCGTTATCTACGTGTGTATGTATTATCTAGTGAGAATATATTTCTTGCATAATATACTTATACTACTTTAACTTACCGTATTAATCTACATTTAAATTATATTTGTATATTTTAATTAACGTTTCGCGTAAAACTAGCTTTAGCTGTGCTTATTTTGCTCAGTCGAATTTCCACATATTTCGTAGCAACTAAAATTATTTCTGCAATTATTCAAATCTTCTTCGAGATGTAAAAACACTGATATTATTAGCTGAAATAATATTGTCGATGAACGATGGAAATTGACTTTCTCAAGACTCTCGTGCGATAAAATGATTAAATAGCCACAACTGTTCGAGTATATAAGTAATAATTACTACATGCAGCCAATGGAACGAAGTAAACACTAACATGCGATAAAACGATAATTTCTTTCCTCTTTTTTATGATACAACAAAACATTCTCCTTGTCCGTTCATTTCGCATCGTTATTACTACAAAGAGAAACGCCACATAATGACAACTAAGTAATGAACACGCAGAGTAATGAACATGCATGTTGTGCATGAAAAAATAATGAACGACGTTCATGCGCTCATTGATCCAGTCCCGAAGAAGCATTAACGCATTCTAAACTCTAAACGAACGTTTCGACTTCCGTTTCGCATAGAAACGTCTTGAAAACGCGTAATTTTTATTTCGAAACTCTCTCTCTCTCTCTCTCTTCTTCGCTTACTCGATCTCTTTCTCGTTCCGAGGGATACAATTAAATTTCTTTTTATTCACGCACTGTAAACCGCGAACAAAGTTTAATGCTTGCCGAGACCTCCGCGTTTACGTTTTTAAAGCATTAATGACTAAAAGACGATAAAATTGACTTTGTCAAGCCGTTGCGAAAATTCTATTCAAATTTAAACGTTTCGTTTCCGCGATGCTTTTCGCAATGTAACTCGTCTTTCGACAAAGCTGGTTTCGTCCCGCAAACGCGTAATTATGCCGATTAATTTTACGAATAATCTTACGAAAGAAAGAAAATAACGGAAGAGAAGAATGGTTAAGTTGTAAATTCGACTAGTAAAACAGATTATAAAATCTGATTTAAAAAAAAAAGAAACAATTATAATTTGTAAACTTAATGTAATCACCTATATATTCCTGGAATAAGAGAATATTAATTATAAAACATTGCTATATAAACTTAATGTAAGATATAAAATAACCGTAACTTTGAAAGAAAGAGATAGCATTGTAAATCTTTTTTAATTGATATCAATCATTTATTCATCACAGTTGGTTTCACAGCTTTAATTAGAAATTAATTTAGGGAATTCTAATTTTAATTTGAATTCTCTATCTTACGCGACATTAACATCGTAGATGATTTTTATCACATAGAATGAACAATAAGAATTGAAATTAAATAGTTTAATTAAAACTGTCGTAGATTACTTATTAATCAGTGATATCAACTGAAAATCAAATTATGATTTAGCAAAGTAATAATAAATAAATAAAATTAAAAAAAAAATAAATTAAGTAATAATAAAGGTTATGAATGAAATAGCTGGCAACAAAGGAAACCATGGGATTTTTCTGTCCTGATTGTAACAAACATTCGAATACAGAATACTGTAAAACACAAACACGAATTTGGTAACTTCGGCGAGAAATCAAAATCAGCAGGTCTGGCCGTTAACGATAACGCTATGTTTCGCCATTTTTTTTTATTTTTAAACTGGCTGAATAAAAAAAACAAGGCTGAATACTGGGGACGAGACGCGATGCTCTTAAAGTTTGCATTATTAAATGACACCCGTGCAATTGCATTCAGTTCCAAAAACATGGCCACTGAGATGATACTTTAAAAGATCATGCACACACTCCAAAAGTTTCATCCACTTTGTCGAGTTACGTGGCTGTGTAATAGGAGAAACGCGAAACGACATCAAAAGCAGGAGTACATATTTCACGATATACAATGCGTTATTTCCTTATACGTTAAGTAATCCATTCAGTCTACTTTGAATCCATATCAAAAAGAATTCACCGAGGCGTAAACGTTAATTCGCTCCTTTCAAATGTTGCCGCCATTATGGTGAAAGAATTGAAATGGTGAACGATGTAAGCGCCAGAAATATGTAAAAATTTGAAATACAGACAAGAAATGCTGATTTGGAAGTTGAACTTCGGTTCCCACTAGGAAAATTGTTTCTTTTACTTTTTCCTCATTTTACACCGTTTATCATTGAAAATTCTTAATTATACCATTCTCTATTTGTAAACGTATGTGTGTGCGTGTGTGTATGTATACGCACACACACATAGATATGCACAACTTTTTTTAAAAAATTCAAACAAATAATATAGTACGCATTACGCGCTTGTACATCAAATTTCATGTTAAAGCAACTGCACAAATAGCTTTTGTATTCGGTAACAACTGTTGAGCAGCACAGGAACAGTATTATACATATATGTATACCACTGTACTCGTATACGATCGGTCAAATGCTGCGCAGCCTAACCTTAACAAACTCCGAATCCTTACCTGATGAAAGTCGAATCTGCTGCAGGACTGGAGGGTCTTGGTGAGGAACTTGCGGTGGACGCGGTATTGGTCTCCTCCACGTCCATCATCATTCATACCGACAATGACGAATCAATGCAAAACGTCAGAAATTAACGGAGAATTATGTTAATTATGAGAACAGTAAGATTAGAATCAGAAGGGATATCGTACGGAGGGTGAATAATTTTTGTCGGGCCCGCCAATCTCTGAACGTCTGACTCCGCGGGGGCAGAAACCATAAAGTCGGGGAGCTTGACAAAAGGGTTGGGGGTTGGTTTCATGCGCCCGTCCACGAGCGCGGACTTACGGAAAACAACTGACAAACGATGTTACCCCCACCGCGAACAACCACTATCCGACGCCTGCAACCCTGCGCCGCGGACACCTGCCGCGCAGGAACGCGAACACTGCGCAGGCGCCGCGCCCGCCAAAGAGTTAATTTTTCATGAGATTTAAATATCTTTTGAATTCTAGAAAAGCAATACAATACGTTATTTATAAGAGAGATTTTATTTACAAAATTTAACATGATTCTAGAATGAGAATTTTATAGTTATAAAATATAAAATTGCTACTTAATATTGTTAACATTATTTATAAAAATCTCGTTAGCTTAGAAAATTGAATGAATGTTTTAAAAATTTTTAAATTTAAAAATTTGGAAACACGTATGCCCATGTATGAAGGGGAAGATAAAAAAATATGTTTATTTTTCATTTAAATGTTTTTATTAAATTTTTTTCTTAAACATCTGAAATAGTTTTTTCTCTCGTTGAATAATAATGCCGAGCAAAAGTTTCTCCAACAAGAAGTGGAAACACTAGAGATGCTTCTGCATAAATCTAAAATATTAATAAAATGTTATTCTGTTATTTAAGTAATGTATTTCAGTGTGAGAAGTATTCTTACTTTAACTGGTTTTGCATCCATTCGAATTTTACCCCACGAAATAGCTTCGTCTGGACGAGCACCACTGTCGCTGCCATCAAATTCTGAAGCTGTATTTATGAATACTGAATAATCAGCGCCATTTCTCTGAAATATAAATTATTTTAAATCATTATATTATCAAAATTATTTCTACTCCAATTTTTTTTTTATTACCATGAGATTTGCATTACATATGTGGTGTTTCACAACACCACCTCCAATGATAATCATACCACTCTTTTTTGCTTTCATAGCCACTGTATTTAATCGCCTAAGATCTGTAAAATAATTAATTAATTACACGAAAATTTTTAATCTTCTTTTACAACAAGTTAAAAACCTGAAACTATATCTATAATCAAGCCTGGATTCTTAAAGGAATGGAAATACATCATATCACCAAGGCTGCCATCTGTCAAAGCTGGACTAAATACTGGAATATTATTTTTTGCAGCCCAATAATATATTGAATCTTCATTATTAATTTCTCTACCAAGTCTTGTTATCACTTTAGATGGTGTCCAAAGTGTACCCTAAAATTATACTTTTATACATATTTAAATATTTTATTTTTTGAAAGAGAATGTTTGGCTTCTTCTTATTAAGTCATACTCGTTTTTGTTGTTCAGCCAACATTGTATCTAATATAGGCATAACCCAATCTTCAAATAAACAATAATTATCATTAGGTACTAACAAATTTCCTATTCTATTAATACCACGTTGCCTAAGACTTTTTCCTTCTAAATTAAAATCTCCTATATATGTTGGTGCTAAGCATTTGATCAAATCTTCTTCTACACCACCTGCTGTAGTTACAATACAGTCAATCTGCAACATGAGTACATATTTAAATTGCCAAATATTAGTATTGTATAATATTAAATATTAAGATTTCCAATGATTAATATTTTAACAGACCATTTTATGTTGTACAAGGAACCTTATAGTATCTCGAATTCCACATGAAACCATATTTGATGTATACCCTAAGAATATTGTGCATGAAGATTTTCTTCGAATAAACTCATCTTCTTCTAAGCTATCAATTTCATCATCTTCAAGAGGAATGTTTCTAACATTAATCATTTGCTGAATTTGTTCCACCGCTAATCCAAAATTTCTTGCTTGAAAACCAGAATTTTTGTATGTTTCAAATAAAGCATGATAATCAATTCCCTTATTCCAATCATATCCTGAAACATTATTAAACATATATTGACATTACTTAATACTTATATTTAATTGTTTTTATATTTTGAAGAACCTTTCACACAACCTTTCACAATAGGAGTTTCAATTGGAATAGGTGAGCTATGCACTAATACAGCATTTTTTATAATTTCTGGAACTTCATCATGTGAATTTTGTTTATTATCGTTCATTTTCTAAATATAAAATTGAGTGATATACTCTTAGGTGGCTTCATACAGTTTCTCATATACGCGACATTTACAAACAGACATAACCTAAAATAAAAATCCATGACAATTTAAGTTTTCTTTTACGCGTTATTATATGTAGCTGCGTAATATATTATTTAATTATTTGTTGTATGTGATATTTATTTATTAATATTATATTTTTTAAAAATTTGATAATTTTTTCACATCATTTTCCATTTACATAATATATTTAAAGACTATTATATAAATAGATATTTTATTTTATTTATATTGATATATATGTTAACAAATAATTAGATTTTAATTGTTAATTTTTAATGGAAGTTACTATTTATGTAAAGGGATTTAAATATTTAAATTTCTTTTTCCTTATTGGTTCTGAGTGATCAACCAATCGGAAAGGGAGATAAGTAGAAAAACCAACCATAGGAGTTAGGGAGTGTAGTTACAGTCAGACAGGTGAGTGGCGTTGTAGAATATGAATTCAAAAGAACAACGGTTAATCGTGTCGCAAAGAAGTGACGAAAGTTAAAGACAGTTCTTATTTTAAGTGTCAAGCATCAGTTTTTTGATCGAAATATCTGGAAAATAAATATAATAATGGCCGATTTAACTGAATGGGAGCCATATATACAGAAAACTTTGGTAAAACTTCGTAATACATTGTCTACATTGAACGAAGTATGGAAAGAAATAGGATTCAACCATGAAACACGTTCGATATATTGCGAACAAGCGTTCGAACATATAAATGATTTACTAAACGACATGGTTTCGGAGTCAGATTCAAAGAAAGAAATGATATTAATTAGTGTTAGAGACTTAATAGAGCAGATAGGTATTCTAACGAAAGAATTAGGAATAGACGTTGCAACTGCTGGGTATGAGAATTTACCATTGAAAGAAGTGGAACAAGTGCTGCGCGCCGATTTACACAAATTACAGTATTGCAAAGAACAGCGTATGACGCATTTAAAGGAATTACTTGCAAAGGAAAGATCCCTCTGTAAAGTGTTAGGCACACAACCAATTAATATAGAAGAAAAAGTACCTTCTGAAGAAGAGCTTAATAGTTTCAAACTCTATCTTGAAAAACAAGAAGATGAAAAAACTCGTTTGGATGCAGTTTTTAAAGAGCAACGTAGAGCAATTATTAGAATGATAGACGATCTAGGCACACCTTCATTATCTAATTTTGAACATTTAGTATATAAAGACAGTGAAAACTTTATCTTGAATAATAGCAATATGACTAAATTAAGAGAACTTCGAGATGAACTGAAATGCAAAGTGGACAGAGCAAAAGAACATGTGGAAGATTTAAAGCAAGAATTAATTGCACTATGGAAATACCTTGATGAACCTGAACATATTTGTCAGTCATTTATTAACAGTTATGTGGGATATAGTGCAGCTACTATAAATGCGTTAACTGTAGAATTAGAAAGATGTAAAGAAAAACGGAAACAAAATATTGCCAAATATGTATCACAAGTAAGATCAGAGCTAACTAAGCTATGGGATTTATGTAAATTTAGTGAACAAGAAAGGAAAAAATTCATACATTTTACTTCTCATACATATACAGAAGATTTATTAACATTACATGAATTAGAGGTGAAAAGGGTTCAAGAATTCTATGTTTCCAATAAAACTATATTTGAACTGTTTCAAGAGCGTAAAAATTTATGGACAAAAATGAAAGAATTATTACAACGTGCAAATCATCCGGATCGTTTTTATAATCGTGGTGGTCAGTTATTAATGGAAGAAAAAGAACGTAAAACTATTCAAAAAAAATTGCCAAAAATTGAAGAAGAATTAGGAAATTTGATAAAGGAATATGAAAGTACACATGGTGAAACATTTACTATGAATGGAGTACCAGTAGAGGAATTATTAAAAGAATCATGGGAACATTTAAATGAAGAGAAAGAATTTATAAAAAGGGCTAGAAAAGAAGGAAAAGATAAATCAATGAAAAAAACACCACTAAGTACTTCTAAGAAGGTTGTTCTGAGTGCATCCAAAAAAGTACCAGGTACATTAGGCACTCGTCGTCATACACCAGTTAACTACTCAAAAAGAAAACTTTTGTTTAGCCCCTCTCCAAATACTTCAGCAAAACGTAGAAATATAAGTATAGGAGCAAATGGGTCTAAAACTAAAAGAAACAAGAAAATTTCTAAGAAAGCGTTGTTACTAAAAGATAATGCTAAAAAAGAGACTTCCACATTAGATAATAGTTCAACTGCTACAGATACAACGTATAATCAGTTTAAAGAACATTTAGAAGATAGGAAAGAATTAAGAAGTTCTTTAATATCAGAACAATTATTAGCAAATGTAACTAAATCCAAACTAAAAACACCGGTACGGACACCTACTAAGCCACTGAGAAAAAATTTACCACTAGCAAAAAAACCAGCAACTCCGAAATTGTCACAATCACAATTACACAAATCACCACGTAGTCCTAGGATTGCACAGTCCACAAAGCTTGCTACGGTGTCGACACCCTTACCTATAATTTTTTGAGATAGCATAGGAATCATAATAAATTTTCTTATATAATTACTAATACAATTTATAAATTAAATATAATACAATTTATAAATTAAATATAAAATAAATACTAAACATGTCTTTTAAATATTTTAATTTAATTAACTAAAATGACATCTTAAAAAATAGCAAATTAAATATTCAAACAGAATTTAATTTTTATTCAATAAAGATTATGTATTACATAGTTTATTGTGAAGATATTACTTCATGTTATTGCTTTGTATGTATATTATTACTCATTTTAATATGTAAGTCTTTCATATTTTGATATTTAAGTATGTTTTGAATTTATATATATATATTGTATTTCAACTTCATTAATGTGAATTACAATACATATTAATGTATATATAAATTAATGCACCTATCAAATCACGTTGTAAATAAAGCAATCGATTTTCTATACTGTATTTTAAAGCTGTATCTTCTAAAATATTAGAATTTATTGACGATAACCTGTCGCTAAAGAATACATAATTTATAAGAATATAATTTTATGTACGATATTTCGTTTAGTATGTCTTATCCTCGTTTTAAAAATTGTGTATTTTATGTACCGTTTATACACACGTTGTAAAAAAATAATTTTTAAATATTAATTGAAAGATGCCTAATAAGTGTATATTGATGTATTCGTAGTCACAATATATATATGTATCACGTTACTGACAAGTACTTCCGTTTCCGCTTATCGCCATAGAAGCACTAAAGTTGTTTGGAAGTTCTCTTTGTATGTAGGTTATACTAGATTTGATTAATAAACGTTCAAAACGTACGTTCAATTCAAGTGTATTATTAAAATTTCAAAATGGGTGACATAAAATCTTTTTTCCATCAATGGTGTGCGAAAAATAGCAAAGAACCACAATTTGACGTGAGGCCAACAGGTATGATAAAACTATTTTTTAAACAGTATATAAATAAAATTTGTTGTAAAATTAATGATTTTATAGGGCCAAAACATCGACAACGATTTCTTTGTGAATTACGAGTACCCGGATTTGATTATGTGGGTGCAGGAAATTCAACTAGCAAAAAAGATGCTCAAGGAAATGCAGCCAAGGACTACGTTAACTATTTAGTTCGTTCAGGACATGTGAACGCTGATGATGTTCCAAGAGATACAACAAGCATTCAATTACAAGAGCCAATAGTCCCTAAAACAGAATTTATTGAGCCAGTAAAATCTGTGTTTCAAGATGGAATGGGTCCTAATGACATTGGCGAAGCATATAGAGCTTATAACGAATATGGTCAAAGTAATTATACGTATATTGATAGAATAGCAGAACAAAAGAAAGTTGCAGATGCAGAGGATATTGATGTCAATTCTGGTATTCATGGAAATTGGACAATAGAAAATGCTAAATCAAAGCTACATCAATTTATACAAACTAACAAAGTTAATGCTGATTATAAATATACGACACTTGGTCCAGATCATACGAGGTATGGATTGTCTCAATGTAGCTGTTTAATTTTACACTGGATTGGACTTATCACTGCAATATCATGATGCCATTTGAAGTCTTCAATTAAAGATTTGTTTCAAGAAGATTGCATGAGTGATTTACCATTTGAAATTCTACAAGACCATTTTGGAGTACGCTATTCAATTTATATTTTATGCTGGTATAAGAGAAAAATGTTTTCTCTTGTGCACAGATGAAATCACTGTTTAACCAGAACTTTTATTGAAATGATTCAATAAGAATTTTGGTGCAATCACTCATATAAATTTATTACAACGTACTCCAATGTGGTCTTGGAGATATTCAAATGGTAAGTTGAGTTTATGTCATTGTAATTATTTATTAGATTTATTATGCACAATATAGATCTTTTATTAAAATTTTTATATTATACTTATCTATACTATTTTTATATTATCTTATCTAATAATATAAACCTTTGTTTAGGAGTTTTATGGCTGAAATGACATTTTATGTGAAACAACTTGGAAGAAGTACGTTTTTAAATTGTTGAAATGAATATTCATAAACAACTTATACCAATAATTTTTAAAAATAAATTTCAGATATCACTGGTCGTGAAACTGGTTCAAATAAACAAACTGCATCAAAAAGTTGTGCTTTGTCTATTGTTCGACAATTATATCACCTTGGTGTTATTGAAGCATTTAGTGGAACTTTAAAAAAAAATAAAGAAGCAGAACAAATAAAACCATATCCAGTTAAAATTGCACCAGATTTGATAAATCAGATACATGATGTATTATCAAGTTTAGATATAAAACCAGTTCCAGTGCAGCGTGAAGATGAAGTGGTAGTGTATTCTTTTTTAATGTTAACATTTCTGAATTTACATTTTTTTTTTTTATTAAATATATCAAACTATCATTTTTTATATTGTAGATATGTAAAAAAGAAGAACCCTTTGTCTCTTTATTAACAAATCAAGTGTTAGATGATTTTATTTCATCTGCGCCTCAACCAGCTGGAGTAGTAAGTTGGTCTCCTCCACAACAAAATTGGAATCCATGGACAGGTTGTAATATTGATGAAGGACCATTAGCAGTAATATCTTTGGAACAATTGTCAAAAGAGTTATTACGTGAAGAACGAGAAAGATTGCAACAAGATGAGAGTCTTCAAAAAAGTATTAAGGACAGATCTCATTTACCAGTTTTTTCAATGAAGAATAAAATAATGAATGCTATCAATGAAAGTCCTATAGTTATTATTCGAGGAAATACTGGTTGTGGTAAAACAACTCAAGTGTGTCAGTTCATTTTAGACGATTACATTGCATCAGGTCAAGGTGCATTTTGTAATATTGCTATAACACAACCTAGAAGAATATCTGCTGTATCTGTAGCTGATCGAGTTGCTTCAGAAAGACACGAAAATTTAGGAATATCTATTGGATATTCCGTAAGATTTGAATCTTGTTTGCCGAGACCTTACGGTAGCATAATGTTTTGTACTGTTGGTGTTCTTCTAAGAAAATTAGAAGGTGGTTTGAGAGGTGTATCTCATGTTATTGTTGATGAAATTCATGAACGAGATGTTAATTCTGATTTTATCATGGTTGTACTTCGTGATATGATTCATATGTATCCTGATTTGCGAATTATTCTAATGTCTGCTACAATCGACACTACGTTATTCAGTAATTATTTTAATAATTGCCCAGTAATAGAAATACCTGGAAGATCGTTTCCAGTGCAAGAATATTTCTTAGAGGACTGTATACACTTAACAAAGTTTGTACCACCTTTCGATTCTAAGAAACGGAAAAATCGAGATTCAGATGATTTACCGACAGACGGAGAACCAGAAGAAAACTTGAATAAAGTTATTGATGGAAATTATTCTATACAAACGAAAAATGCCATGGCACAACTTTCTGAAAAAGAGATAAATTTTGAACTTATAGAAGTTCTATTAAAATACATTAAGGATCAAGATATTCCTGGTGCCATACTAATTTTTTTACCTGGTTGGAATTTAATATTTGCATTAATGAAATACTTACAACAACATCCTGTTTATGGAAGCTCAAGTTATGTAATTATACCATTGCATTCACAATTACCTAGGGAAGATCAACGTAGAGTTTTCGAACCTGTAATGTTAGGAGTAACAAAAATTATTTTGGCAACAAATATTGCTGAGACTTCAATCACAATTGATGATGTAGTTTATGTGATAGATTCTAGCAAAGCTAAAATGAAGCTTTTTACTTCTCACAATAACATGACGAATTATGCTACTGTTTGGGCTAGTAAAACAAACTTAGAACAAAGAAAAGGTAGAGCAGGTCGTGTCAGACCAGGGTTTTGTTTTCATTTATGCTCTAAAGCACGATACAATAAAATGGACGAACATATAACTCCAGAAATGTTTAGAACAGCGTTACATGAACTAGCATTAAGCATCAAATTATTAAGATTAGGGAGTATTGGAAAGTTCTTGTCAAAAGCAATTGAACCACCACCAATAGATGCTGTAATCGAAGCTGAAGTTGTATTACGCGGTACGTTTCTAATGATCATTATTTTATATAAATATTTATCACTTGTGTTTAAAACTGTCTTTTTTTAAATAATTACTTTATTTCAGAGATGAAGTGTTTGGATGAAAATAACGAACTAACACCTCTTGGAAAAATATTAGCTCGATTACCCATAGAACCACGTTTAGGCAAAATGATGATTCTAGGTTGCATATTTCGTGTTGGTGATGCACTTTCAACAATGGCTGCAAATAGTACAACATTTCCAGAAGTGTATAATATAGGCCCTGATGTAAGACGATTATCTGCAGAACAAAAATGGTTTGCTGGTGGAAGATATAGCGATCATGTAGCAATGTTACATGCTTTTCAAGCATGGGAAGAAGCTAGAGCTGATGGAGAATATGCACAACTAGCATTTTGTGATTCAAAAAATTTAAGCATGGCCACATTGAGAGTGACGTGGGAAGCTAAGGTAACTGTAAATTACTTTTTTTTTTAAATATACTATAGAACAACAGTGTGTTAACAATAGTTTTTATTTGTAGAATCAATTACAAGCACTTTTACAAAGTGCAGGATTTCCGGAAGAAACTCTTTGTCCTATACCGTTAAATTATCAAGCTGGTGCAGATGTTCGTCTTGACACAATTACGGCGTTATTATGTATGGGTCTTTACCCAAATGTTTGCTATCATAAAGAAAAGAGAAAGGTTCTTACTACTGAATCTAAAGCTGCATTGATTCATAAAACATCAGTCAATTGTAGTAATTTTGAGCAAAATTTTCCATTCCCATTTTTCGTATTTGGGGAGAAGGTGAGATTAGTTCCTTTTTTTTTTTTTTAAATGTAATAAATTTACATAATCTTAAGATAATATTAATTTATTTTTATTTACAGATTCGTACAAGAGCAGTATCTTGTAAACAAATGACTATGGTATCACCGATTCATTTATTATTATTTGGTTCTCGAAAGGTCGAATACGTTGATAAAGTAGTAAAACTGGATAACTGGATCAACTTAGATATGGATCCAGTTCATGCAGCGGCAATAGTTGCTTTACGACCTGCATTAGAAAGCCTAGTTGTAAAAGCTGCAAAAGAACCTGAAACTATTCTACAATTAAGTCCTAATGAACAAAAGGTACTATTTTATATATTAATATTTTATGCTGTACTACTTTTTTTCTTATTAAAAAATTTTGCTTCTATTTTGCTTTCTTTTTAGGTGTTAAACGTGATCAAGGCATTATGCGTAATGAATGCATGCCGTTATGAATTAGATCAGATTACAGATGGTAGCTTCTACTCACGAGGACCACGAAGGAGACAATCTGTTAATTTTTATTCGGAAAGTGGTATTCCCCCCAAATTAATGCGCGGAAGTAGTAATTATCGTGGAAGCAGTAGTGGATACTCAAGATATGATAATTATGGCGGATATAGAAGCGGTGGTAGTAGAGGATACGGAATGAATAATTCACGTGGAAGAGGTGGTGGAGGTTGGGGTGGTAGAGGAGGAGGAGGAGGAGGTGGAGCAGGTGGAGCAGGTGGTTACCGTGGTCGTTATTGATACGTAAATTTTATCTAATCTTTAGTATATACTAGTAAAATTTACTATAATGTGTATTCAATGTGTTTCACGTGAATGTATATTTGTTTTTATATTGTTCAAATCGAAATGTTGCTTTCTTCTTAATTAAAAATATTTATGTTATCCCATTAAATAACAGTACGAATAAAGTCTTGAAAAGCAATTTAAAAATTTGGTCATTTAAATGCATATTATCAATGTTCAGTAGTGTGTTTTAAAATAAGTATCGCAGCAATATATTGAATGTATGATTCATTGGAAATATTCATATATATTTAACACAAATAACGTACGATCAAGTTAAGAAAACATAGAACCGCGTATCGTTAGATTCTGTGGGAACAGAATGAATATATGGCCATCTAACGGACACGATGGAAATGGAAAAATAAGTTTCCATCTCTTGTGATTTCATAGGTTTATTTGTGAACACGTCAGGGGGCAACCATACGTTTGTAGTATTGGTCGGTATCGAATGAAAAAAAATGGCGAAGGTTCGCGTATAAAGACGATCGTCAACAGAGTTGACAGAAACTAATGAAATTGGCTAATGTCAAGTTTGACAACGTAATACATGAAAAATGTTCCCTCTAGTCCGCGCCGCCTCGGTGCGTTTCGTATGATCAAGTACAACGTTTTACACAAGTGTTCAATCAAGTGAGAAAACAACGGGAGAAAAAAGGAGAAGCAGGAGTCCAGTGGTTGCGAAACGTCACAGATCACAACACGGAACGGACCACTCCAAGGCAAGATGTTTCACTTCATTCACTCCGGGGAGCCCTTCGATACTTAAAAAGTAGTGATCATGGAAACGATCACGGACGACGGGATTCACCAGTCCTGACGTGAATTCGTGATGACCTGATTTAATCTTTTTGTTTTAAAAGTATCTGATCTTGAACTGTGCACCGTGCAAGGTTATGTGCAGTTATGCATCTGACATTTGGATCTCTTACGAACGTTCAAGAATTCCTTAGCCGTATTTGGCAATTAATGCGACATAAAATAACGATCAATCTTAAACCGTGTAAAAGAGTATGCGATTCATGTTTTTTTAAATATGCCTTGCTGTTTGAAACTTTTTTAAAAGAATCTCTCGATTACTACACGAAGTAAAAGTTGATGTACTAATTCTTAAAGAGTTGAGTGTAACGATCGTTTCTATATTTTGCATTAGTTGCCTTGTGGGAATTGTCGCTTATTCAAGTGCGTAATAAC